GGGCGGGGAGGGCAGGCGGGCAGGGCAGGGAGGGAGAGCAGGGCAGGGCAGGCAGGGAGGCAGGGCAGGGCAGGGAGGCAGGGCAGGCAGGCAGGCCCCACCCCCCACACCCCCCCCGAGTAGCTCCTCCCCCCACACTGACCCCCACACACACACTGACCCCCACACTGACCCCCCCCCGGGCAGCTCCTCCCCCACACTGACCCCCCACCCCCCCCGGGCAGCTCCTCCCCCCACACTGACCCCCACACACACACTGACCCCCACACTGACCCCCCCCCCCCCCGGGCAGCTCCTCCCCCCCCACACACACACACACTGACCCCCACACCCCCCAACCCCCCCCCGAGCAGCTCCTCCCCCCACACTGACCCCCACTCCCCCCCACACCCTTTTTCTTTCTTTCTTTCTTTCTTTCTTTCTTTCATAAACTCAGTAATAATAATAATCCTTGCATTTGATATAGCGCTTTTCACATCAGGAGGACGTCCCAAAGCGCTTCACAGAACACACTGTAAAGTGAATTGACTGTATATTTGTGGGCGAACGCGGCAGCCAATTGCGCACAGCAATGTCCCACAGACAGTCGTAGATTGAAAATGGCCAATTTATTATTGTTTTTGGTTTTGGAGGGATTATTGTAGCTGCTGTGTTTCCTTTTTTTTAAAAGAAAAAAGTAGAGCTGGAATGGATTTACTTTTGTTAAACAAATCCTTTTTAAAAAAAAGTGTTTGGCTTAATTGTACATTTTGCATTGAAAAGTAATTTTCGAAATGTCAGATGTTTAAAATTTTGTTTGGAAAGCCGTGTTTTTTTTAGAAACGCTAAAGAATGCCCCAAAAGTGCTTATTTTTGCAACGTCGCCCAGCTCCGACTGCCTCACACCACAATCCGCCGAAACGCTCAAACTTGCTGTCATTACATCGAGGCTCAACTACACAAACTCTCTGCTTGTCGGCCTTTCCAACTCCTCCTTCCATAGGCTGCAGATCATCCAGAACTCTGCAGCCCGTGTCCTCCCCCGCACCAGGCTCCGCGACCCTATCACCCCCATCCTCGCCCAACTCCACTGGCTTCCCATCACACAGAGGATACAGTTCAAGATCCTGTTCCTCACCTCCACAGACTTGCTTCCCCCCTAACTCTGCAACCTCCTGACCCCCTACCACCCTGTTCGCTCCCTCCACTCAGCGGGCTCCGACCTGCTTCACGTCCCCCGCCTCGCCCGCCCACTCTTGGCGGGTGGGCCTTCCACCACTCTGCCCCCACCCTCTGGAACTCCATCCCGCAGTCCCTCCGCTTATAGAACAAGTCAAAAACTGCAAAAGTAGATCCCAAAAGACAGGAATATAGCTTGAGTTCTGATGACTACTTTGCATGTGATGAAAATTGATTGAAAACCTTCAATAATAATAATAACAATAATAATAGTAACCCTAGCATTTGATATAGCACCTTATCATGCCTTCCAGGATCTCTCAAAGCTCTTCACAGAATATACTGTAAAGTGAATTGACTGTTTTGGTGAAACACAGCAGTCAAGTGTGCACAGCAGTGTCCCACAAACACTCATGGATTGAGTGACCAAATTTTTTTTAAATTTGGAGGGATTATTACTCCTGGAAAAGAGATCCGCCAATCGACTAACAACTGGGTTCCTACTTTGCTAGGTGAACAGAGGTGTGTGGCACAAGGAAATTTGCCTAAGGTTTCACCCCATCTGGAAATGGAACCCCTTACGAGGTTATAGGACTCCACAAATAAAAAATCATTATTTAAATAAAAAAATAACTTTTATTAATTTGTTGAAGTCCTGCAGCGTACCCAGTGGGAGTCATTTCTGACACATCGTTGGATTCCTAAGTCTCATACAGGAGAAAGACTGAATAACTAAAATAAAAAAATTCTATTGTCTATCTCATAGAGGTGATGGAAATGATGTGTCATTAGCATCTGTGCATTAATTGGGGTTATTAGGTCTTAGTTTTACAATCTTGTGTTCAAAAGTTTGATGTTTTGTAATCTAAATACGGGATCCACTGTCTCCCAGTGGATCAATTTCAAGATCCACGGACTCAACTACAAATCCCTCCATGCCCTATATTTGAGACATGAAAGACATATCACCAAATATAAGGATTATTACAATGTCGTTACCCAAACTCTGTGATCTAAATCTACGTATTTTAATAAAACATAAACCTTTTTCAATTTACAACATATTGCATTCATATAACATCCTTCATGTGGGATAGCTTCTCTGAGTGCTTGAGAAAATAAAAATCTGTTTTCAACACCATCATAAGGTACATAGAAATATTTATTTTATTCTTCTGGAGTCCTGTAGCTCAGTGGTTGGAGCACTCACCTTGCAAACGAGATTCCTGGGTTCGATTCCCGGCAGAGCAAAATGTGGAACAAGTTTCCTTACCCCACACGCCTCTGTTTACCTAGCAGTAAGTAGAAAACCGGTTGTTCGTGGGCGGATCACTTTTCCAGGGATAATAATTCCTTAAAAAAATATATAAATTGGTCATTCAATCCATGACTCTTTGTGGGACATAGCTGTGTGCAATTGGCTGCCACATTTCGCCCACAAAATATACAGTCAATACACTTTACTGTATATTCTGTGAAGTCCTTTGAGATATCTTGCAGGCGTGATACGGCGCTTTATCAAATGCAAGGATTGTTATTATTCTATGACTGTTTTGAACTAAACTGTGAGGACTTTTCCTCATTATGACTATATTTGATTCTACAAATTTGTATATACTCATCTGGGTTTCTAATTGAATATCGTAAGCAAATCACCAATTATCTGTTGGTTAAGAAAAGTTAAAGTGTGTTTCCCATTGCAAAAAATAATTAATTATTAAAGCTTTTCAAAAAAAATTCATTTTCAATTTTAAATTTTTTGTCAATTTGGTTGATGGAGGTAATTCTATAAATATGTTATATACTGAGGTATGAATTAACACAAACATTTTGTGGAAATCAATTATTCATACCTAAGGAAATGCACTAAAACAGTCATTATGTTGTGCCTGTTGGCTGGAATATTAAAGGTTCTTTTGCTCACCATTTCTATTCTGTCTAAGTTAAAATATTGTTTTTGTTGTTCTGCCTTGCAGGTTAGGATAATAAACCGTTTCATGTGGTATGAATTCTATCCATGCAGAAATGTTCATGGTGAATCATTTCAAGTCTAAAGTATGTTAGATCAGCTCACTTATATCTGGTTTAATAAGCAACTTATGTGAATGTGCAGCATACTGTATGGATGGCGTTGAATGAAGTAAATGGCATATACCTACTCCCAGTGAATGAGGTGAATGGCATAATCCCATTCAGTGAAAAACTCACCAAATGGTAAGACCCATGTTCGAGACGATTGAGGTTGAGCAATGACACATTCCAGTATTGAGTTTAATACTTTACTTTTCCTTCACAAGTAACTTACACTAGCATAAGTGTAAGCAACTATAAGTACAAAGAAAGAAAGGATATTACCCAGCCCCTCTGGGAAGGAAGTCGGCATGGATATTTTTATATATAAATATATACTTATTTAGAAAATATTATATATTTGGTACAAAACCCCCCCAAAGCACAACATCTTCCATTTCATTCCATTATCTGTAACCAAATACAAACATTATATTCCTTACTCGTGGATTAGCTATGGTCTTGACGTTCTGTTGTTTCTTGCTTCAATGTTCCTTTCTCACCCTTCTCCTTGAATACAAATTACGTATTCTGT